TTGTTTCAGATCAAGCAGTTGATAGCGCCCCCGTATGACAGTGAAAAGAAAACTTTCTTGAAATCATTACAAGTTCAAAGCGTGCCTTTGTTTAAGCCACCGTACCTAAAATGGTTTGCTTTGAATAGTTTCCTTATGTTCGGCGTGTTGGCAACGTAAGTATCTGTAACATATTCTTTGTCTTACTTTATTTAAGTATACACAATGTTACTTACCTATATTAGACCGCTTTAACCACCCGGTAGGCGGTTGGGGCTGCGGCTTCGCGACCGATTGCTGTGTGTAAAATTCGGTACTTGCCAACTAGTCAATTTTAATACGTTTTTCGAACTGTCGAATAAACGACGGTTTTCTATGAATTTTGTACGAGATTGTGTATTGTGACGTCACGTTTCTTAGCGTCAAACAGCATACTTATTTCTTAAAAAATTGCTGGTTTAATAATAAGATTTAGTTGGTTATTAAATCAATTAACGAAAGAGTGATTTTTTTTTGACGTTGAAAACCAAAATGCATTTCAGATTAAATGGTCTATACGTATGGGTACCAGATATTTTAAACAGAGTTATGACTGGTGACGGGGAAGACAAGACGGCATGTGACATCATCTTTGATCGACTCAATCAGGTAAGTGTTGTTGGATAAAGGTATAATCTGTACTCAAAACTACTCTCAGATACATAACATCGCGCCTTTTATCCCCGAAGGTGTAGGCAGAGGTGCATATTACGGCACTTAATGCCGCTGTACAATGTAACACCCACTTTTCCCTATGTATGTTATGAGTCTCATGTAATAGGGGGTGAACCTACTGCCATACTCCGAGGACATTTCCAGACTCCGTGTTACTACTGAGAATGTTTAAAAACCTAGTAATACTTTGCCCGATTCGGTAATCGAACCCGAGACCCCTTGCTCGGCAGTCGCACCACTCAGCTAATGAGGCAATAAAACAAGGTATTTTATTGCGCAAGGGTCAAGTCAAGAACTGTTTTTGACACCTCCGTGAGGTTAATATTTTGTCTACGCTAGCCAGGTATTAATATTATTATGACAACTAAATAAGGTTCTTATATTACAGACATCACAAAGCGATGAATGCATCGACACAATAGAAACAGTAACATTTGTAATAAATGCAGTTGCAAATGCGAGTTGTACTGTGATTTGTCTGGCAGTCGGTAGCTGCGTCAAGTTCATCGGCAAGAAGAGACTCATGATCTTAGTATTCGTACTAATAGGAACTTTCTGTGTGCTCATCAACTTTATAACTCAAGATATGGTCTTCGCCGTCCTACTCTCATCGCTGCAAATATTATCTTTAGCTATCGGACCAATTAATGCATACTCGGGAGAATTTTTCCCAACACATCTAAGGTGAGTTAAACATGTTTATAGTTCATACGGTACGGTCTATGCACGTAGACGTTTAAATATTTTAATAGTAAAATTACTATTATAGGATTGTGTATTATATCAAGTGAAAATATTTATATTACTGAAACGCAAACACTTGGTGTGTTTTTGAGTCATGCAGTTGACATACAGGTAGTTTAGAGGTGAACCTACTTACTTCATTCTGAGTTGAAAGAAAATAAAAAAATATCGTTTCTATTTTTCTTATAAATAAAAATGAATTTCCGTTCGTTAGATTCGCTAAAACTCGAGCGAAAACTGCACCCTATTGGCTAATGTTGGTTTTGGAATGATCGTGGAACTCCAGAGAAGAATTAAAAAGGAGAAAAAAAAATCGGCGATATGAAGTTTGTCGGGTCAGCTAGTCACACATAAATGTTTAGGACATTTTAAGTAGTCTTGTCCGGATTAGATAACGCAATCAGTCAGAGTACAACATAGCTATGTGAACTGTTTCAGGGGCATGGCCGTAGGTCTGACGATGATGTGTGGGCGAATAGGTTCTATCGTCGGGATCAACGTTGCAGGCGTTCTCCTGAACGCAGTCTGCGAACTGACTTTCTACCTATTTGGAGGATTATTACTGGGTAAGTGTTTTTTTTATAAACACGAATTGTCCTAATGTTGAGCTTAACAGTAGCAACCCGAGCATACGGCGCGTCGCGTTCCGCGCGCGCCTCTTAGAGCCATCAGACCACCACAGATGGAGCCCAACAGGACCAATGCCGATTCGGAGTCGTGGAGAACCTAACGGGTTACCGGGGCTCCGGCTCGACGTGCCGGAGAAGGAACGGGGTGGTTTTGGTCAGTAAGAGTCTAACATTCCCTCCCGCCTTACCCAGGCGGGAGATGAAAATCAATGATTTTCCTCCCTTAAAAAAAAAATAAAAAGAAAAAAAAAACAGTAGCAGCCTTGATTTTGACGTTTATGCGTACGTCTACTGCGCATTATTTTTTAGATCAAATTTAATTATTAATAACTAAAAGCATACTAGCTGGAGCAACCTACAATTTAGGCTGGTATTAGTCTGACGCATCGGCAGCACTGATGGGACGAAATATATAAACTTCTAGGAAGCAATCTTGAGTGTCGCGTAGTTATCAGCGCGCACGGTGGTCAGTGCTGATCACCAAATTCATACATCTCGGCTCCCAACGCTGATGGTCAGCGCGACACTAAAACCAGCCTTAGAGGCTTATGTAGAGCGTCTTTATGGAGACTGTACCAAGCCTTAAATTAAGTTAGAAATCTAAATTTCATTACTTTTTTTATGGTATAAGCCGGTAAATGAGCAGACGGATCACCTGATGGTAAGCAACCGGCGTCGCCCATGGACACTTGGAACACCAGAGGCGTTACAAGTGCGTTACCGGCTTTTTGGGGATTAGGAATTTGAGGATCGTTGGGAATTCAGGGATTGGGGAGATTGGGGAAGGGGAGGGTAATTGGGCCTCCGATAACCTCACTCACACGACGAAACACAACGCAAGCGTTGCTTCACGTCGGTTTTCTTTGAGGCCGTGGTATCACTCCGGTCGAGCCAGCCCATTCGTGCCGAAGCATGGCTCTCCCACACTTTAAAACTTTTGTTAATAAAATAAAATAAATACTCATCGGAAAGAAAACTCGAAATTATAAGTTTCTTCTTTTTCAGTGTGCGGGCTGCTCTCTTTCTTACTCCCCGGGTCCCAAAGACCTCTAATCAAGAAGGAAGTACAACTAGAAAATTCGCCAAGCAATAACAACAGAAACCCACAAAGTTCTCATTTGTAGATAGCTGTGAGTAAATTATTTTGAAATACTGTTTAATAAAAATATATTTACTTAATGATCTACTAATTTACTTAGTCCTTATGATAGGTCCCTACTCACTAGATCCACGTTCATGAAAACTATTCAGATTCCTTTTTACTAAATTATAATTCGTGATCACGGGTACACACTATACCTATGTTATACTATCGCGGGGAACCTAATGGGTTACCGGGGCTACGGCTCGCAGCGCAGGAGAAGGAACGGGGTGGTTTTTAGTTAGTAAGAGTCTGACACTCCCTTCCGCCTTACCCAGGCGGGAGCAGGGATTCGATGATTTTCCCCCCTTAAAAAAATGCCTATGTTATACTAAGACCCTTATACCTGGTTAAACTACGAAACACTCTCACTACGTTTGGAATTCCCCAATAGAATTACAATTTGAGAACCTAATAGTATGTAGAATTGGGTTCGCCCCCATTACGTGTGACTAATAAGAACTATTTCACTGAATGTGTTGACGTAAATACAAATATAACCCCCCTATAAGTAAAAGGTATAAAATATTTTTAAAAATCCCAATTATTGTATCGTATATTTTATCAAACTATAACTTCGCAGCAATACCCATGTCATCATCATCATCATCACCATATTACGGTTGTAAGATATTCACGGTTGAACATAGGCTTTCCCCAATGACTTCCAGATAGGTCGATTGGAAGCGAGCTGCATCCAGCGGCTCCCTGCGACCTTAGTCGGGTCATCTATCCACCTTGTCGTTGCACGTCCATAGATACGTCCGTAGATATTAGACTCTACGACTCCCGTGTAATAGAGGGCAATTCATTTGATAGTTTTATTGATCATTGTCGTAATGTCTAGTCTCCTCTACCCTGAGTTCTATACAAAATTGATGTAGATTTTCATAATTTGGTACTATGTTAAATACACGTAAATTTACATTTTGTGTCATGTAAAACTAAAACATTAAAATAACTCGAGTTTAAAGGTACCTGCGTAATTTATTTTTATAAACTGCACAATAACACAATAAATTATTTGGCACAAAAAATACCTGTGTACCTACTTATAAACGTAATGTAGATAATATCTAACTAAACAATACATTCGTAATACTTTTATTATTAATTAAAAATGATCACTTGCAGTGATAAAATAATTAAATTCCTATTTTAACTATAGATGCTTAACTTTAAATCTACCATGTCCTGACTTTGCAGCTTTGTAGATAAAGCCTATGTCATTAGTTCTTGTCTTTACGAATGTGCATCAACCTTAAAATAAATAAAAACTGCATGAATCAGCTTCAATTGTATAGATAATCTCACATCATGAATACAGAACAATTTTTTTTTTGCGAAAGAGGGAAAACGATCTTGGCATTTTAGACATTATTTCTTTGTATCATTATAGTATGTACTAAAAATACTTAACTACGTATTTTCTCAGACATAAACATTTTTAACAACTTTGCTGTGCACGATAAACAGTTGGTCTATTCTATTGACTCATTATTTAATAAATATGTCATGGTTTTCAAGGACAAGCTTGGCAGATATAGCTATCGTCAGGAGACACTGTTTTATCGATACTCACGACAACAACCGACTTGTCTCACTATTCCCCTTGCTTGACATTATTCAATCTTAACGAATCATAGCTAGGTACTTATTGCACTATAAAATTTTATAACTGTAAACACAACACTTAAAAAATTTAAAACAAAAGGATCTCTATCGGTCTTTAGCCGGGCAATAGCTACAATGTCATTTGTTAAATATAAAACAGAAGATCACAAAACATTTATGTGCAGTTTACAACGAAGCATGGAACAGTCCGGGTTGATGTGAATTGTGAACGAGGCACGGGATCGGGACCGCAGTCGTAGGCCAGCCAGTATCACAAACTAATTCCTGATATACGCACGACTTTTTAATACGCGCGCTCTTACGCTCGCTAATTACCGCTTCGCATCATTATCACTCTTTATAAATCGGACGTGTTTTAGCACAGTTGTAATCAGTTAATTAATTGGAATAATAATATCGTGTTTTCGTTCATCAATACGGTTTTATCTGCAGTCGCAGAAAGACGACTGAAAACAATGCTTGCTACAAGTTGTGATCTCTGGTTCTGAAATTAAATAACTTTTAGTTTAATATTGTGTATATGATATTATAACAATGGAAAGTAAAATAAATACTGTTGCTGAGGATGTGGATAGTAAAGACAAACATGCGGCTGATCTGGATCAGGCGTTAGCAGTTGCAGGTAAGTTCAATTTTTTGATTAGTGGATAATTATAAGTGTTGTGATTTTGCGATGACCGACGCGGCGTGTTTAGGAAGCATTTTATTATAGTTCAAAGACTGTGGACACACGCAATCTAGTCGTTGGAAGCGGCTCAACCCAAACTCTATGTTCCATAAATAAACAAGGTAAACATTATAATTGAGGGTCGCGGCCACGCTCATACAAAATTAAACTTCATTAGATTTGTTTCTCTATAAAATACGAGTATATATATTCGTATTTTCACACAGGTCTATACGTAAATGTGGAATGATCTATCGTCGGCGGTATTTCCGAACCGATACGACCTTCAAACCTTCAAGAAAAGAGCGTACTCCTTTTTAAAAGGCGGGCAACTGTGACTCCTCTGGTGTTGCGGGTGTCCATGGGCGACGCTGATTGCTTACCATCAGGTGAACCGACAGCTCGTTTGCCTCCTACTTCATAAAAAATAGGTATTAGGATAACTAAGCAGAATATAAATCAACGCAAAAAGTAAATCGAATGCTTGATTAGATAAATAACGCGTATCGTATCTGATTCTTTTTTAATTTATAGTAGTTTACGTTTTATCAAATTGTTGTTGTCTTCGGCAAAATACAGACTTCTTTTAAGTCTTCCATAGAGATAAATAAGTATCCAGAGTAAACAAGATCCCTGATCACATACAGTTGCCGTTAGGAACAGGTTTACAAAAGGTACAAAAATTGTTGTGGGACACGCGAGCATCGAATCTCAAATATTTTGAAGTAGCTTGCTTACCGGGTTCCATTCTATCGTACAGCGTACTACTATTTGCTGTAGTAAAGTATACAAAATAATGGTGTAAAATTAATATATTAGATTGAAACTAGTTTATAAATTATTTCAGCTAAATCGAAAATAAAGACCTGATATCTTTAAAAAATCAAATTAGTACACATTATGTCAGAATTCCCTAAATTGTTCTTAACAAAAAGTCTGTGAATTTTTAACAGATGCAACGGATATTTATTTTTACTAAGAAACATTATCATTGTCTTTAAATGTAATTGGTCACGTAATAAGCAATTAAAATCATGAAAAAGAAGTAATTATTAAATCAACTAACGTAACTCAAATATTCTTCGGATCAAAATTAAAATTAAAATTAAAATTAAAATTAAAATTAAAATTAAAATTAAAATTAAAATTAAAATTAAAATTAAAATTAAAATTAAAATTAAAATTAAAATTAAAATTAAAAACAAAACCTGTTTACATCTCAGATTAGTTTATAGACCTAAACCAATAATAAAAATAAATAACAATTAAAAAACCATTAACTTAAATTTAGGCACTTTTCATCTGAATTTTCGCTACTTCGTTACTTTATCGCGCCCTGTGAAACAGCTATTTACTGACAAAATGACATATTATTGTCATCTGAGTCCAAACAAGATGATTTCACATTAGATAGATGTTCCTCTAAAACAGTGTTTCCAAAAGTGGGCGATAACGCCCCCCTGTGGGCGCTAGAGACCTAGAGGGGGGCCCAAAAAAAATTGGGGAGATGCTAAAGTAATTTAGGGGCCGATAGGCAATATGTGACTTCGGATATTTCATAAGTAATTTAAAATTAACTTACTGCATAATTTATTAATTGTATTTGAATCCTATTTTGTTTCATAAACATTTAAAATAATCGTGTTGATACGGATTCCCGGAAGACTCAACGGGTTACCTGTAACGGTAGGAATGGGGGGCTTTTAGTCAGTAAAAGTCTGACACTTCGTCTCGTCAAACGGATACCGATAACACCATGTACAAATATCTCAGGAACAGATTTAGGGTGGTGTAGTCTTCTTTAATGCCTATGTTAGAGGCATGGAATGAACTAATATGTACTTTATTTTTAGCATCAATATTACAGCAAAGTTTATTAGATTGTTGTGTATTAGAAGTTTAGGTAATGAATGAGTACAAATTACTATATAGTGTTTACGCAAAAGGAAAAGTGGTTAAACTTACTTAGTACATACTTAGGAACTCCAGAGCAGAACTGTACCTAGTATCGTAGATGCGGAAATTCCGCCATAGACGCCATAGTAAAAGTTGTTCTGTATATTATGCTTACGAGCACTTATTTAATTCTCAACCACTTTGTTGTAATTGATACCTTGATACTTGATATTTAATTATGTACACCACTATTGTACCTAACTATTGAAATGTAAAACCTAACTTAAAGTATATATTTAATACTTTATTCTTTACTAGCTTTTACCCGCTGCTTCGCTCGCGTCACAAAAAGATAAAAAGTAGCCTATGTGACATATACCAATACACACAGCGCCATCTATACTAATACTTTTGTTTTCCATCGGGAATATCAATTTATTCCGAGATAAACAGTACCCTATTATTTAATCCGGACTTCTAACTTTACTTCTGCAAAAATTCAAAGCAATCGGTTTAGTAGTTAGGGCGTGAAAGCGGAACAAACAAACAAACTCACTTTCCGATTTATAATATTATAGTAAGGATTTAGAGTAACTTAAAAAACGAACTAAAAACGCTTACATTTTACAAAATCAATCTTAAAATGTTATTCTAAGTGCAACTTTAAAACGACTGTAACGATTTCGTTTTTTTTTTTTATGGAGTAGGAAGCAAACGAGCATTCGTATCACCTGATGGTAAGCAATCAGCGCCACCTATGGACTAGTGTCCACGGCAACACCAGAGGAGTCAATTAATATATTTTATTCATTATTGGTTTGATAATTCATTTTTTGTCAGTGAAATTACTTGGAAAAAAATTAAAGATGACCAAACGGTCAAGAAACACCACAAAAGTAAAGCTGGGACACGAGTCGCTAGCCTACCGATAATGTTAATATTATAGTAGGTAGTACCTATTTTCCGCTTATAATGTTTATCATTAAAATGTAAAAAAGTAATATTATTCTATAATTGTTGTTAGTAAAGTACCTCAGGTAACTATCAATTATGACAAAGAACTGGATAATTGATCCCATAAACGGGTTTATTGAATTATCCGTCTTGGTTAGATTGTATTTCATTGCCTTTTACGGCAGAACTGCGTCGTAAGACTTGCATTTTTTAAATAACTGTAATAAAACTGTAATAAATTTTATATTTTCATGAAATTGGGATGATGACAGGGTATGAAAATTAAAAATCTATTTAGTCCGTAAGTCAGGTAACGAAAAAATATTAGACACGTATTTTTTTTTATTTTGTCGTATAATACCACAATACTTCGATAAAACGAATCAAAGTTTAGGCGAGAGGGTTAAAACGTCATTTCTACGTATAAAATGTACATAGAAGTGACGTCACGCGACATTTCAAATCAATATAAGTATCGACGAAAGTTTTCGTTTCGATTTAAAATAATTTACCAGACGGACATTAAAATAAAAATTAGGCATCTACTCTATTATATTGTCATCTTAATACCAGAACCAATCTCATTGACTTTCAATTTGATAAAAGATTAAATTAGAACTTTATCTTGAGAAAAGATCGTGTCATATTTTGAGAGGACAATGTACTGACTGTATCAGCTGTTGACTTTGTAAAGGTGGTCTACTGACGGCATAACCAAATCTAGGCTTACATTAAAATCATAGGAAAGTCAAAACTGTATCTACATTGAATATTTTTTAAAAGATTACTTGTGACGTGATCTACAATCGATATCGATTTTTTGTCTGTTTGTCTCTATGTATGTCCAGACTAAATTTAAAGCGTACGGACGGCGAGCACGGCTGCACGGGTGACTCGCCGCCCGACCAGAACCAGGCCCGAGCGTACGGCGCGTCGCGTTCCGCGCGTGCCGCAAGGAGCCATCAGACCACCACAGATGGGGCCTAACAGGGCTGATGCCGATACGGAGCCGCGGAAGACTTGACGGGTTGCCGGGGCTCCGGCTCGAAGTGCAGGAGTAGGAACAGGGTGGTTTTTAGTCAGTAAGAGTCTGACACTCCCTCCCGCCTCACCCGGGCGGGAGAAGTCATTGGATGATTTTCCCCCTCAAAAAAAAAAGACTAAAACTAAAAAGCACTGCATAGATTTACTTCAAGTTTTGCATGAATATTACTAAAAGATCGGGTCATCATAGAGGCTATTATCACGCTATCACCTACGGAGGAGAAGCTATAAAGAACTATCCCAGCCACGTTTCCACGCGAACGAAGACGCGGGCACAGCTAGTAACATGAATAAAATAATCTTTCCACGCGTGGTATAAATTCCATTGCGTAATCTAAAGAGCCATCGATAAGCCTCGAAACCCTCATATTCATTAACTGCTGATATATTAAATTAAAACATATATGTCAATATGTTTGTTTGAGGCATATTTTTAAAATTAACTAATTGGTTACATTTTGAAATAACTTTATCATTTCCTGTTTCTGAGTCAAGGTTGTGGTGTTGCATTTTAGTATGTTTTTACCAATTAAATTTTATGTTACATGTTCGTGACACACAAAGGGCGTAAAGCAGGATATCATAAAACAATTCCTCATACTTTCAGTAACAGGTAACAGATAATAGCTCGCAATTGTAGGTAATGTTCGTCAGCAAACTCTTAAACGACCTTCATAAAAATCAGCTACTTATCGTTCAACTCAAAATGTCATATGTGGTGTATGAAATCCACTCATAAACTAAAATTATACCCCAGTTACCCTCTGCTGATGACATAATATGACCATTTGGATATATACGTACTTATTTGTTAAAGCATTTTTACACAGTCTTTCAATTGATGTTCAACCTCTGATAGATATTTTTCGTGGGAGCGTTTACAAACATACAATTTCACATACACATGACACCCAGACTGTGAATATATGGATCACACACACGATCGAATCCGCGACACGTTGCGCAGCCACTGTTGTTAGTGCAGTAACATCTGGTTAATAAATATTCAATGATTTTGAAAGAAATTAAAGAAGTTTTTATAACTAACTACTTCCAATTCC